AATGCTACTGTGTTTCGTATGGTGAGTGTAGAGAACCGGAGACCCTTTTTACTGGAAACGAGGCATTCCATCTTAGTACTTATGGGTGACAACGCATTTGCATTTTTATTCTTAATCGAAGATAGATGTAGATGTCTATGGGCTACAGAAACCACTTACCATCAGGTGGACTGTGTGCTCGTTTGTCACCCTTATCTTATAAAAAAAACCATATGTACACGTGTAGTACTATTCTCAAAGACCTCTAAAACTGTCTTGCAAGTCGTAGATCTTAAGATAAATATGGACATGACAGCTGTAATGTCTAAAGTCTCTGTCACACTCAAACTAGTAGTCCTCGGGAAAACTACGCTCAAAGTGCTTGGCGCTTATTATTAGATTCTGTACTTAAGACCAACTAAACCAATACGTTTTTGGAAATTACATATTTGTTATAAACGAGTAGTTTTGTTTAGAAAGTCTCAAAATCTTAAAAATAGCACATTGGCAATAATATCTTATGAAACGGAGACGCGGTTCCTTACTCTTGATCGAATAAGACACCCCTATCATTCAGCTATACTTGGAGAAGGCTATTCTGGGGATTTGGGATCAAGGACTCAGAATTCATACATAATATCTCTTATATGCTGCATGTGCCAATAGACAATGCGTTATTTAAAAATAAATTTTTATTTTTTTAATTAACTGTCTCGTCGGTCGAGTGCTCGTAAGTGCAGCTGCTGATTATATAGTCCAAGGTTAGAATTCTAGGATGGGGCCAAAATCAGTAATTGGGTTTTACTGTTAAGAAATTTTCAGTAGCAGCCTGCGGAGAAAGACAGTTGGCGGATTTTCATCCCCGTGCCTCGAAAAGCACGTAAAGCCGTTGGTCCTGCGCGTGATCTCTCTCCGGTCGTGTCGGTTTACCGCCCCATGGGACTATGAGAGTGAGGAAATGGAGAGTGCACCTGTGCTTGCACGTACATTAGGCCACTATAATCTTGTCCTACGCAAATGGCTAGTCTCCGTTGAGACTGCCGTGTCCGAAATACGGTTTGGAGGATTATAAATTATTGTTTGTTTGTTAAGGGTGTCGTTCTCTAGTTGAAATGACCATTCGTGTTTCTGCTATTATGTGCTGGGCTCTTTTCCTATCTAAGTAAGCCCAGACCGACTGTGCACGCACCACCCTATTTCTACCACTAAGTAGCATTACTTGCGCTGTTGTGTTCCGGTCTTGAAGCTAAAAGAAAAAACCAGTATAGTAACAGGCTGCCAGGTATTCCACCTTAGTCCCCATAGGTGATAACGCATCTGTAACCTACTTTGTTTGAAACTGGTCAATGGACGTCTATTGATTAAAATAGCTACTTTTTTATATAGTACTAGCTGTTCCCCGCGACTTCGACCGCGTGGAGTAATTTTTCGCGGAACCCTAAAATAAAAGCAGCCCAAGCTACTCCTTATAACATCAGATATCTGCCAGTGTGTATAAATATTGACAAATATTGACATTAATATTTATACGATACTAACGTCACTCAATTGTTTTGCCTTCCCGAAACACCTCCACCAAGACTTAAACTTTATGGCATGGTATTAAAATTCAAATTGACTTTTAAGTATTATTACGAATCTTTTGTAGGGAAAACTACTAATGTATAGAAATGTGTTGTTTTTAGACTTTTTCAGGCAATTTTTTTAATTTTTCTCCCCGTAAGAACCATATTCGTACTTCAAGGAATATTATAAAAAAAGAATTAGCGCAATCGGTTTAGCTGCTCTCGAGATTTGCGCTTAGCCACACATTCAGCGATTCATTTTTATATTAAAGATAAGAGTGATAAACGAGCACACAGTCCACCTGATGGTAAGTGGATGTTGTAGCCCAACATAAACATCTACATTTCTATCCTTGATTAAGGATCAAAATGTAGATGCTTTGTTAATCCTGAGTACTTAGATGGAATGTCTTGTTTCCAGTAAAAAAGGTCTCCGGTTCTCTACACTCACCATATGAAACTCAGCAGAATTGAGCTGTTAGTTTACGTTGTTATTCTGTAAAAGCGTAGTACTTCCCAGGTCGAACAGACTCATTCGTGCTACCATATTACTGCAGCATGGCTCTACCACGTAAATTCCTGTTAAACCACAATAAAGCTGCATTACCAGCCACACTTAGAATCAGGGAGACAGTAAGTTAGTTTGTCACATCAGTTTTTTTTTTAAATATCAAATCCTTTCAAGATCACATAATACAGCGTATTTAAAGAAAAAACCTATTTCACAATTATCTTAAAAACCTATTTAAAATTTTGACCGTTTTCATTCTTCATTCGAATGTGTTTGATCCTAAGAAAACAAATCTTTGTTGAGAGAAATTAAGCTTCGTTTATGAGACTGTTATTTTTTTTATTTCATTATGAGGATGAGTATTTCACTTTATGAAAGCATGAGAATATTTTCTGAAAATACAATTAAGCGTATCCTATTTTTGTTATTTAACGGTTGTGACCGTAATTTTAAAAGCTATGGAATATTATCATTGCGACGATTTTGATTTTCATTTGAAAACATATACCTTCCTGTAAATCAAAAATATTAATACATACACGTTGAAATTTGTGGAATCATAAATTTCTCTCTTTGAAATCATATGTCTCCTTGTTCATTAAAATCATAATGTGCGTTTGAATTTTACAAAAGCTCATGTGACTGAAGGTATCTCATATTATATTGTACCTATTAAATCTTCATATTTTTTCGAAAATTAAGGGATAAACGAACTTTCTGCCCACCTGATGGTGATTGACTACTGTAGTTTAGCATCTGCAGCCAACTTCAAACAAAGAATGCTGCGGATGCATTGCCACTCCTGAGGATTAAAATGGAATGTCTCACTACCTGTAATTAAAAGGTCGGGGAAAAGTTTCTTCGTATTTTATATACAAATTGACTACATTTTTTTTTAAAGTTTAATGACGTTTAATTATAATATATATGTGCCGTTTTGTTCAAAACATATTACCATCTTGTAGGTAGTGATGATATTTGAATGATATTTGATCAAAAAAATTCGACAGAGAGTTTTGATGAGTGAGATTGCAAGATCAGGACTATATGGTGGATACATTAACACTTTCCAACCAAGCTCTCTCAATGTTTGCTGAGTGGCCAAATATGTGTGTGGTACGGCGTTATCATGACGAAAGACCACTCCTTTTATGTTCATCATTTCCGGTCGTTTTTTCTCAATTTTTTGCTTGAGTCTCATCAGTTGCTGGCAGTAGAGATCCGAATCGATTGTTTTACCCAGCGGTAAAAGCTCATAATAAACGATGCCCTTCCAATCCCACCATACACACAGCATCACCTTACTGCTTGTTAATCCGGGTTACGCTACAGTCTGTGGAGCTTGACTACCTTTTGACTATGATCTTTTTCGCACGTTCTTGTCGTAGGTAATTCATTTTCCATTACCAGTGATAAAATTTTTAAAAAATGGTCCGATTTCATTACGTTTCAATAGAGAATTGCAAATAAGTTCACGATTCATTAGGTTTCTTTCAGTGAGCTCGTGTGGTTACCCAAATATCGAGCTTTTTTGCAATAATCAGACTTTACGAGACTTGGTAATTAAACAAAAGAGTGACGTTGAATAAGTATTATTTATAACTCGGCTTACTGGTAATTACTAATATACCGATCTTGCTACACTTTGTCAAAAATTGCATCGACTTTATCTGTGTGAAGTCGACCAGAGTGAGCTGCATCTTTGACATCAAAATTACCGTACTGAGCTTGAACCAACTTTGTGCTACCCATACAGACACTGAATTAGATCCATAAAAGTCACAATTTTTTTCACAGCATAGGTCGCAGTTTTGCCTTTTTTGTAATAAAGCTTCAGAATGTATCAAAATTTTCATTAGATTCACTCAAAGAAATTTAAATATATAGGTATACGCTCTTAAATGTCTTTGGATTCACTCATTTTGGCAGATAGAAAAACAATTGAAAATGGCGGGATAGTGTACTATTTTAATTTTTATTTTTCTTAATGTCTTCTATGTATTGATATTAAAACAAGCCAGATACAAACAGTACAACCAAAGATATTTTTTTTTTCAATTTTATACAAACAAATTAAGAAGAAACTTTGTCCCTGACCTATTATATTGGCGCTGTAATAATGCAGGCAATCCTACTTGGCGGTGGAAATTTGTAAGATGTTGGTATCTACTCAGACGGACTTCTAGACACAGTAAAACACTCTTTCCACCTTGTACCAACACTTGCCCAGGCTAAATTCGTCTTACTCTTACTTATGCCCAGAACAAATCTTGTGACTCAATTTATAATGTTAATGATGATACACAAAAAATATAACAAGGCTTGATAAAACTGAATATACACAAAAATCTATTCTTAATTCATATATTTTAATTTAATTACTATCCGCGTGCGAAAATAAGCAAGAGAAAATAAAAGCCGAAAAGGCAGACTCATATGTTATTAACGATGGCAATAATATTACCTAGATTAGAAATTAAATTGGGATTTGATGGACATTGGGTTTGGGAATCGCGATTGTGAAAGAGAGGGAGAGACATTTATTTATTTCATGTAACTTCTTATTTTATGTTTTATTATTCTTTTTTGTTTTCTTTAGAAAAGCATTGTGCCCACTGTTGGAATTTTTCGTGTCATTAAAATAAGTACTCATAGATCATGAACACACCAAAAATCAAGACAATTTTTCTGTGTAATTAATCTGACGTTCATTCATTTCACTAATTTTTTCTCTCTGTCCTGACCGGAAAAAAGTTAGAAGTCTATTAATTAACCGCCTATAAATGAAATTAAGTTTGTTACTCGCGGGTGCCAATGACAATTTTATTGGTAATAAATTCGGTTTGCTCGGATACTATTAATCGCGAAATTTTAATTCGAGCACTCATCTTCTGAGCTACCGCAACTCCAGATTTTTATGATTATTTATATTGCCCTTTTGCAGAATGGGAGGCACAAAATTTGTTTTCCTGATTTTATTTATTGGACATCTATCTGCGTTACCAGACACTATTAGAATAGGTAAGAATACAATAAGATTTATGTATCACACCTTTAAATCCTTCCTATATAAAATGTTGAAACGATTAAACTAAAGGATTTTGATTAAAACTAATTTTGCTGATTTTATCGCATTTAATTTAACTTGTACTTACTTTTCATAATACATGACATACATAAACAGTCACGCCTGTCACCCAGAGGGGTAGACAGAGACTACGGACTTCCATTTGGGATGATCCTGATACACCTCTCTCGCCTCTTTTACATCCATAATATATCTACGCATACACGCTCGTCGGTTAAGGGTGCTCCTAATCTGGCCCTTTTTTAATATATCGCCAATTTGGTCGATAAATCTTCGTTTAGGGCGTCCCTTCCCGACTCTGCAGTTCACTTCTGCAACATAAACTTGCTTTATCACTCTTTCCTTGCTCATTATTTGAATTGCAATACGTGCCTTTTTTGACTTTTCATAATAGCGTGTTATGAAAAGTCAAAAAAGGCACCTATTCACTCTATTTCCTGCGTTCACTCGCCATTCTATATCTTTATCATATCTATCATCACTGCTAAACACACATCCCAAATATACAAACTCATCCACTTCCTCAATCAACTCCCCTTCTATTATTATTTCACATAACGTTTTACTTTCTTCTCTTTCAAAAAACATCACTTTCGTCTTAATTGCGTTCACTTTCCTACCACTTTCTTTTAATGGCAAGTTTATTAGTGTAACCATCATTTGCAACTCGGCTGCCGATGATGTAAATATGACTTGATCATCGGCGTATAAAAGGCATTTGACGATTAACTCACCCATTCTCAACCCATATTCTTCAACTTTCAAAGTTTGCAAACAACTGTTCATAAATAGGTTAAACACTCACGAGAAAGCTACACAGCCCTGTCTGACACCTTTCTGGATGCTAAACTAGTCCGAGTAGACCCCGTTGATCCTGACGCAAGCACTAGAGTCCCTATAAAGAGACCTTAATACCTGTATCAAACCAGCGCTCAACTGAAATGAGTTCAGTATTTGCCATAACATATTCCTGTCCACTCTGTCATAAGCCTTTTCGAGGTGCATGAACGCACAAAAAACTTTCCGGTTTTTGGCCAAAAACTTCTCCACAATCATGCGCATAGAAAAGACTTGATCCGTACACCCCATTCCCTTTCTAAATTCAGCTTGCACATTTCCATCAGTTTCTTCCATATCTTGTTCAATTAACACCACAGCATACAGTTTTCCGACAATGCTAAGAAGGCTCATACCACGGTTGTTTCCTGCTGCGATCCGTTTCCCCGGTCTATAACGGCTTTGCAACAGTCTTCCGGTACCCATTTCAGATCCCAAAATAAATTAAACAGGTGTACAGCAGGCCTGCCACCACACTTAATTTTCAATTCCTAACGAAACTGCTGTAAACGACCCGAAGTTTTGGGAATAAAAATAAGTTAAATTAAACGCAATAAAATCCATAAAATTTGTTTTATTCAATGTTAGATATTTGTGTAAAATAAGGTATCATTATAAAAATATTTTAGAGTGTAACGGGAATTTGCTTTATGTATCAGGTGGCTTATTTCACCCAGAGGACGATAAGCAAGAAGTAGCATTCCGTTACGCAGTGGAGCGAGTAAATGCGGACAGAGCCGTTTTACCAAGAGCTAAGTTATTAGCTCAAATAGAAACTATATCGCCCCAGGATAGCTTCCACGCGTCTAAACGAGGTTTGGTATCTTCTTAGTTATAAATTTTACGTTTTATAATATAATACAAAATCTATTATTTTTTTATGAAATATTTAAGACATCTACATATGTATGTTTTGTGATACAACCAGGTATCGATGTGTCTTCGGCCAGTATTCAGAGATAATACCGAGCTAAGCTCAAGCTCCACAATGTCAACATTTGATTATAGACCATACTTTGTTTAACAGATTTACAGACTGGGGAAGCTTAGGTTAAACTAGACATATTATACGTAGTAAAGCCATACTGCAGGTAAATTATAACTGTAGGACGAATGGATTGGCTCGGCCACGTAATACCACGCTCTCACTGAATACCAGTGTAAAATAGCAGCTTAACCCTGCTGTGTTTTGAGTGGTGAGTGTAGAGAAGCGGAGACCCTTTAACTGGAAACGAGGCATTCCGTCTTTGTCTTCAGGGCTGACAACGCATCCACATATTTAATCGAAGATAGATGTTGATGTCTATAGGCCACAGCATTCACTTACCATTAGGTCAACTGTGTGTTCGTTTGTCACCTTTATTGTATTAAAAAATTGTTGTCTTTGAATACCGGTTTTAGTAAGGTTCCTTTAGTTGTTCGTTACCAATAATAATATTATTTTGGTTGCCTGATAGAGATCCCTTCTCACCGATAAGGCCGCCAATCGTACCTTATAATTTATATTTATAGGTGTAAAATAAGTATATTTCATTCATGGAATATTAATTATTAATGGTAATACAATTATTAATATAATTTGAATGAGTGAACAATTAATTAATTAGTCAAATATCGTAAAGTTCGATAAACTTCAATATTGACAATCGTACCATTAACAATAAATAAATAAATATAACTTCATAGTACACCATAGTGGCAACACCAACATAACATATTTATTTCATAATGCAAACGGTTTCCGTTTTCTTATAAGGTTATTATAAATATTCGTTGCACCTTCAAACTGCCCTTTTTATTTTTGAGCTATCAGCATGTAAAGAGTACCAAAATAAGTACATTGAAGTGCCATACCACAAGCAGAGTTATCTCTATCTAATAACGTTTCCTTATGAAGTATGCCACCTTCTACGAAGTGGAGTGGCAGCAATCTTCGGGCCACAGTCAGCCCCTGCCGCAGCTCACGTACAATCTATTTGTGATACGATGGAGCTGCCCCACTTAGAGACTAGATGGGACTATCGCACGCGTCGAGAATCGTGCCTTGTCAACCTATATCCACATCCAGCCGCTCTCAGCAGAGTAAGTGACACAGTATTTGTATGGTTTTTAATTTTTGTGGTGTTACATTTTATATTCTCCTTCGTGTGACTTATGAGTAAAAAAGGAATACAAAGCCATTTTTTTAAAGTTTAATTGCAATGTTTTGCATTGTACTTAGAATTCATTGTGCTTAGTATTTTAATTGAAAAAACCTATTGTTAGGCCATAGTTCTGATATTGCGGGATAAAGATCAATATTTTTATGAAACATTGGTGTCGAGCAGTGATTGTAATTAGTTTGTGAAAAACTATACAAGCTAAAGGTATGCCACCAATTAATTAAGACTTTTTAGAGAATGAAGGTCCGGTAGTTCGGTGGGCTAAGCGCTTGCTTGCTAACTCGGGTTGGAACTCCCGCAATAATGAAATGACTTAATATTGCAATTATAAGCGCTGATTTACTTACTTTGATTAATTTACTTTTAAGGCGATGAAAGAAAACATCGTGAGGAATCTGTACGTGTGAGAAATAAATTATTTCGAGAACATCAAAATTGTGGCAAAAATACTTTCAGAAATGATTTTAATTTCTGTGCCTCGAAGTAAGATCGGAAGTATAGGCGGAAATAAAAACTATGTTATATACTAAAAGTAAAACATACCTTAAGAAAGCAAGAAAGAAAAAGAAAGAAAGAAAGAAACATGAGTATTACGTACCTACGTGCCAATTACAAGCACCAAAATTAAATTTACGAATAACCTAATCAATTATTCAGATTATTGGGAAAATAGATATCATTTGGGAGATCTATCGCTTAGTTTTGAAAAGTCCCTTTCATCCATGAAATTAAAATTAATATTAAAGTCAATTAAGATAATAACTATTTTTTTTTTATTTATATACCATATACTTTAAGAAAAAAATATGGTAACAATACGTTCGCATCTACGTATTTTGCAGATTTTTTTAAGAACTAGACATGTATTAGAGGACTGGCTATCATTAATAAAGCTGCTTACAGTTAAGATCTGTGTAATTTTACACATTGATATTTTTAGGCTTATGTTGACCTCGTTAGAGCATGGGGATGGAAATCATTTACAATTGTGTACGAAAACAGTGATGGGCTTGTAAGGCTTCAAGAACTTCTCAAAGCTCATGGACCATCAGAGTTGCCCGTAGCAGTAAGACAATTGCCGGATTCTCATGACTATAGGTAATTTTATATTTTCTATTATTCAACATAGTATTGGTTGAATGTTAAAACATGCAATTTTTCGTTTTGTAGGCCACTACTGAAACAAATTAAAAACTCTGCAGAATCACACATTGTTCTCGATTGCACAACAGAGAGAATAAGGGATGTCCTCCAACAAGCTCAACAGATTGGCATGATGTCAGATTATCACAGTTACTTAATAACATCTCTGGTGAGATATTATATTATTTATTAAAGTATCAATTTAGCAGATGTAACACTATAAATTATTTAATAGAAGGCAAATATGTAAGAAATTAATATTTTGAATCACATATGAATTTCATATTTTAAACACATGTTTTAGGACCTTCATAGCGTGGACTTGGAGGAATTTAAATATGGAGGTACAAATATAACTGCTTTAAGATTACTCGATCCCGAGAGATCTGATGTACAACGAGTGGTACGAGACTGGGTATACGACGAGGCTAGGAAGGGTCGTAAACTACAATTAGGTCACACCTCTGCTAAGGTAGCTATGAACCAACAGTTATTTCAAAAGAGAATAAAATCGGGAAAAATATTAATTCGTATTTATTTTATTAATTTTGCAGGAAAATATGACCTTCATTAAGGTAAGTCAAAAATATAATAAGGAAAATGTTTGTCATGTAACTTTAATTCATTGTAATATAACTAATAATATAATTTTGTTATTTTTACATTTATAAACCTATAATTATATCTTTATTAACAGACGGAAACAGCTCTGATGTATGATGCTGTACATTTATTCGCAAAAGCTTTACATGATCTTGATACTTCCCAACAAATTGACGTGAAACCTTTATCTTGCGATGCTGAAGATACCTGGCCACATGGGTACAGTCTTATTAATTATATGAAGATCGTAAGTTACTTTACTTTTTATTTTTTATACGTTTTAACCTGACTAATTAATTGGTCATACGAATGTAGCTTAGAATAAAATAAAATGTATTAATTTCTGTGTATAACTAGACTTTTAACAGTTAACCCTAGCTTATTTTAATATCATAGGTGGAAATGAAAGGCCTAACTGGTGTTATAAAGTTTGATCACCAAGGATTTAGAAGCGATTTCACACTTGACATAATTGAATTAACAAGGGATGGCTTACAAAAGGCAGGATCGTGGAATTCCTCAGAGGGTGTCAATTACACGAGATCTTTCGGCGACAACCAGAAGCAGATAGTAGAAATCCTACAAAATAAAACGCTTATTGTGACAACAATTTTGGTAATTGCAAAATTCTTCATAAAAAGTTTTATTTTTTCACGTGACCAAATTTCCTCTTAGAAACATTAATTAAATAAATAATATTAAATGATTAATCGTGTAGCAATTATTGAAATGAAAAAACTTCGGTGCGTTGTCTAAAAATTAATACATTGTTAAATTTTAAGTAACAAAAAAAAATATGAATTTGACTACATATAGTTTTAATTTAAAATGCATGTTACACTTTAGCTTCGATATCAGCTTTCCGATTTCGATTGATTTTTTCAAAGTAAGATACATGCAGGGTTTATAATATATGTACAAAATATTTAAATATAATAAAAAATCATATACAAAACTTTGCCGATAGTAATTAAAGCAGTTTTAATATGCAATGCAATTTTTATAAATCGACGTTTAATTTTTTTCTTCAGAGTGCGCCATATTGCATGAGAAAAGAGGCTAGTGAAAAACTAATAGGCAATGCGCAGTTCGAAGGTTACGCCATTGATCTGATTCATGAAATATCAAAAATACTAGGCTTCAATTACACGTTCAAATTAGCTCCTGATGGTCGATACGGATCGTTTAACAGGGAAACCAAAGAGTGGGATGGAATGATAAGGGAATTATTAGAACAAAGAGCCGATGTCGCAATAGCTGATCTAACTATAACATATGACCGGTAATTGAATTCGTTAAAACAAATATAATTTGTTCATGCATACAAACTAAATAATTTTCTTAGCTTCTTTATAACTTGCTTTTAATTTTTAAAAAGAATTTCATTTTTTACTTGATTTTTAATTTCAATTTAAGTATATTTTTTTCTAATCATATTATAATTAAATTGAATATACCTAATATGTAAATCTACGTGACAAATTAAAAATACTTACTACTAAAACTACTATCTACTATTTACCAAAATATTTTTTATAACATTCTGCATACCAACAGGGAACAAGTGGTCGATTTCACGATGCCGTTCATGAATCTTGGAATTTCGGTTTTATATCGGAAGCCCATAAAGCAACCGCCAAACTTATTTTCGTTTCTGTCGCCGCTTTCTCTTGACGTTTGGATTTATATGGCTACCGCCTATTTGGGAGTCTCAGTACTTCTATTTATTCTCGCCAGGTGAGTCACCTAAAACCATTAATTTATAAAATTTTCAGAAAATATGAAATATTAATTGGCCATATTATTTCACTATTTAAGAAGTAGTTCTGCACAACAGTTATTTTTGATATTTGATGCAGTGGTAGCTTAGTGGCTAAGCGCTCGCTGTACGAGAACAACCCGACTTCGATCCCCGCCGGCACCAATGAAATTGTTAATTGCAATTTTAAGTGCAGAAAAATGTCGTAAGGAAAATTGCCTAGCTGCCTGGCAGAAGGGCGTTTAATTATTTAGGCTGTAACTTCACTTAGCTTTCACTTTGGACTGAAGAAAAAGTCATCAAGCAGTCATATGCTCTGAATACTCGCCTGCTGAATATAGGGAACTGATTATTACAGTATCCATCTGGTACTTTATATATTGTGCGTACTGATTTTTCTTTTACTTGTTCGATTTTTACGACAATTAAGGGCATAAAATCAGGTGAGGGATGGCCTTTCCTTCTCCTACTAGGCAGTAATATGTATATTAATTAAGGATAAGGTTTATGATTCAGTACAAGTGCTTGAGTTGCACTACGCATTTTTTTATTATTCAATTTAGGTCAAAATCTTAACCGGTTAACAAAAACAAGTCCTTCTCATGGATGCCATACACGATCCAGTTTACTGTCAAGTTTGCAGTGCACTTGAAGTGGCGTCCAGTATGCAGTGCATCCATATAGACCACTCATGTTCAAGTTCGCCGTTAATTTTGCATGATGCCGCACCAGTTGAAACTATGGCGTCTCTCGCTTATTGGTCCGATTAATGTCATGCATATTTGACCGCTCATATACATGTTCAAGTTTACATGACGCTGCAAGCTTGATCAAGTCGGCAGAATCGAAATTCTATTTTTGCTTCAAGTAGACTTGTCATGGACACTAATAGCCATACACCGACAAGTTTACTGGATCCATTAGATAAATACCGGTAAAACGCTGAGATCTTTTATTTCAGATTTTAATACCATTTTAAAATTTTATTTATTAAAACTTAGAATATAATCAATAAATTAATGTCTAATCTATGATATATTCTTTGAAATGTCAGTTTAAATATATATCAGCTGCAAGTGCACAGAAAGGGTTTCACATCCTCAATAACAAATACAGGGTTATACACAGATTAGCCAAATGTTAAACTTAAGTTAAATTATATAAATAATGATATGCCACTACTGAAGTTTTTTTTAAAATACGAGTAAATAAGGCTTCTACTATTATTTGAAATTATTTCAAATTGAATGTGGTTTATGGGCAACAGCGTTTTTGCCTACGGATCGACCCTTACGAATGTGTGCTTATGCAGTAAAATCAGTTAAAATAATGCATTACCACACATTTTGAATTTAAAAGATAAAAAGGGCAGAATGTTTGAGATTTTTTCTAATTAATTTTTCTTCACCAATTGCCTATATTACTTATTCTGTATCTACACTGCAAATTTCGACGGTTATTGCAAAATAAGCCTGTATAAGTGCATTTTACAGTAACATTTTTATCAAAATTTCCTTTAACATTATTTTATAATATTATGTTTCATTATTGCACTATTTTTAGAGATTATATTCTAAAATTTTATCAAACTACTCAAAAAAGACGTTCTAGGCTACTCGCCACGACCCGTTCGACGGAAGACATTATGTTTAAATTAAGCTAATCTTATAATTGAACTGAATAAAATTTTACTCAAAATAAGGTGATTAATATAGCGATAAATATAACCAAGAAATATCTTTCTAAGCACCATAAGGAGTTGACGGTGAACCCAATATCGTCCCGTGGGTGTCGCAAGAGGTGACAGAGGGAAACAAACCAGGAATTGGACAGCAGCGTCTTCCTAATAACGACTAAAAATAAAATAAACTGCGGTTGCCAACCCGCGTATCAAGCGTGACGACTATGGTAAATATTCCCCTATGAGGCACTAATGGGGAGGCCTATGTTCAACAGTGGACATTTGGGGGGCTGTAACGGTAACGGAGCACCATAATATGTAAATAACATAAGCCTAATGTTATCTTTATTCACATTATAAAAATGTTCGCACCTTAACCTGCTGACATTCAGTATTTTTCGTAGTTCACTTTAATTAGCAATATTATTTTTTTACGAGAAATAACTAAATTTCTTTGAATAATTATTAATGCTCATATTTCTACTTCAATAAGAGTTTTATATATAGTCGTTTTGACGACTCCATGACGCAGTAGCTTAGCATCGAGTTGCGGCGCTGATTCGAATCCCGCACAGAACAAGCACTTGTATGGCTTACATAATTATTGTTTCGGGTCTGGATGTTTCTCCTCGTGCAATTTATGTATAGAAACTGCCTCCACAATACAAGAGAAAATCCTAGTTTGCGAGTAATTTAAACAAAACATAAAATATTAGCAGATAATGCAATATTGACTAAAATATTTTTAAGCTGTTACCATACATAATCTAAAGGTAATTTATTAGGTTCACCCCTTATGAATGGCATCCATCACACTCACCAGACGGCGAAAAATTGGAAAATGTTTTCTCTTTGGCCAATTGTTTGTGGTTCGCGATCGGATCACTCATGCAGCAGAGTTGTGATTTTTTGCCCAAGTAAGATTAAAAGAAAGCACTCAAAATCAATCTGACTTTGAAAGCTCACTTCATGTATTCTTCAAGCGCTTTTCAATTTAGAATATTAAGTGACCTCAGCGAATTCGACATGAATGTTTGAAATTGAAACAAAACTCGGTCGCAGTGTATATTATTATCCATTTAAAATACAATATTTTTGTATCACATTCGTTTTTTGAACATTAAATAATTTGTATCTATAATGTGTTAAATATGTTGTTTGTAATATCGAAAAAAGTACTCATGCGATAATACACGAGCCAAAAGTGATGGTAGCAGTCCTAATTTGTATACTACAACATATATTAATGCAGACTATTGTAAATGCGGTCTGTATTTGGGCACAGGTTCAGCCCCTACGAGTGGGACAGCCCCAGGAACTGTATTGACGAGCCACCAGTACTGGAGAATCAATTCACACTGTTGAACTCGCTATGGTTCACTATTGGATCCTTGATGCAGCAAGGTTCGGATATCGCACCGAAGTAAGTCTATCTTGGCTCACATCGATAGCTATTCAAATAGCTACCAAATTTGATTGTTTACAGCTAGATAAAACAGTATTGTCCCAAAGGGTTGTAGTTCGTTGTCTTCAAAAAGCAGTTAGTTTGTAAACTACGAAATAACTTCCTTTGTGCATAGAATTTTAAACAAGTTGTTTTATTTACAAAGTGAGAGCCTCACTAATTAGTTTCAAAGCGACCACGGCCCTTTGTGAAAATCAAGCATCGGCAGTCATCTATTAAGTCATATTTAAATATCGTGTTTCAACTGTCATTGTTATTAAATACCATTAGCTAGTAATATAAAACAGCTAGTTTAACGTAAATTCAAACTATATTTTTGCACTCGTTTTTATGGTCATGTATCGACAGCTTGCTGCATCAAGTCTAATTTAGTAGCTATCGACTAATGTATCTATACATTTTTATTTAAATTTCATTACTTATCAAAAATATTTCAATTTATTAAAATATGTTATTTTAGTTTTTTTTTTACTAAAATTTAATTAAAAGAACTATATACATATTGAAGGATTTTTTAATTAACACGTTTAATATAATTTCTTTATTTTTTTTTTAAATAAACAGAGCTGTCTCCACGCGAATGGTGGCAGGAATGTGGTGGTTCTTCACTTTGATTATGATATCCTCTTACACTGCAAACCTGGCGGCGTTTCTTACTGTAGAACGAATGGACTCACCTATTGAAAGCGCTGAGGATCTCGCTAAACAGACTAAAATAAAATATGGAGCACTGAAAGGCGGTTCTACAGCTGCTTTCTTTAGAGTAAGTGTACACATTGACCAACAATATCACATTCAATAATATTTATAAACTATATGATACGTGTAGAGCCACGCTGCAGTTATTTCATGGTTGTAGCAGGAATGGGTCGGCTCGACAGGAGAAGGATCACGCTCTAACATAATACCAGCTTAAAATAGCAGTTTAATACCACTGTGTTTCGTATGGTGAGTGTGGAGAACCGGAACCCATTTTACTGGAAACGAGGCATTCCATCTTATTCCTCAGGGGTGACAACGCATCTGCATTTTGATTCTTAATTGCGGATAAATGTAGACATCTATCGGCCATATCATCCTTTTACCATCAGGTGAGATGTGTGCTCGTTTGTCTGCTTATTTCTATATAAAAAAAATCGAAATGGCAAAAATATTATAATTCTGATATATTTTTAATTTTGAATAGCAAATTGTTCATCCTTTTTCTTTTATCCAAATACCCTTTACAGATTTATTTAATTTTATTATTTTTAATAATATTTTAATTTGAATATTTCTTTAATAATTCAGGATTTCAGTATTCGAGCCGTGGTAGCTCAGATGGTTAGCGCTCGTTAAGTTTCACGATCTCTGCTGCTGATTTACCACGTGCTCGACGGTGAAGGAAAACATCGTGAGGAAACCTGCATGTCTGAGAAATAAGAAAAAAATATTTTTCAAAGACATGTGAAGTTCGCCAACACGCATTGGGGCAGCGCGGCGGACACTTCATTGCCCTAAAACCCTCTCAGAAATGAGAGGAGGCCTGTACCCAGCAGTGGGACGTCTATATATAGGCTGTATCTTTAACTTTTAACTTTAATTCAGGATTCCAACTTTTCAACATACCAAAGAATGTGGTCATTTATGGAATCGGCCAGACCCTCAGTATTTACAAGTAGCAATAAGGAAGGAGAGGAGAGGGTGATGAGAGGCAAAGGCGCTTATGCGTACTTAATGGAGTCAACAACTATCGAATATGTCGTTGAAAGAAACTGTGACCTTACTCAAGTTGGTGGAATGTTAGATTCGAAGGGGTACGGAATCGCAATGCCGCCCAGTAAGTTTTATTTTTATTTCAAAAAAAAAAAACATCGCATAAAGATATTCTTTATTGGGACAGAGAGATATTTTATCCGTTATTGCACTTTTAATTATGTTTTTATTTTATAACATTATATCAGAATTCTAAAGGTAAGTACTTCTAACTTTTAACATACACAATACACTCGTACAAGAGTATTCCTGTATAAATGAGTGCAACTGAGTTTCCAAAGCGTAGTTATGAAGTCTCCCACAGTGTTTTTATTGTTACCTATATTAACTGAACTAATTTTTGCAATGGTATTCTGTCTGTACTGTTTGCAGACGATATTGCAACTACAATTAGTACTAACTCAAGCATGACATTCAAACACAAAACATGAATCTGACATAAACAACACAATAAAATCAGTAATAGAATGTTAAAATCTATATAATTTAAAAGTTAATTTTACTAAAACTCATTATTTAAATATGACAATTTTAAAACAAAAAAGCTTGATATATATAACAACGGAACCAAAATTGAACAAATCACACAAACTAAATTTCTTGGCTTTGTAATAGACTAAAACATTAATTGGGAGTCTCATGTTAACTCAGTGTGTGTCAAATAAATAATATTTTACGGTATATTAGAAAAGTCACAAACAAATACAGCTCTGTCAGTTTATCATGCTTATGTAGTTTCAATACTGTATTACATGTTAATTATCTGGGAAAATGGCTCTCAATCAAACAAAGCCTTTATCACTCAAAAAAAATGTTTACGAACACTAAATCTCTAAGCGCAAAATTGATGTAGATGTTATTCAAAAAACTTAAATTCTTGACATTGCCCTTGCTATGCATATATGAAATATGCTTGTTCGTCAAACAACACAAACATCTTTTTACTAAAGCAAAGGAAATATCTTTTCAAAGTCATAGACCCTGAAAAACTTGTAATAGACAATCTTCTAAACTAAGTATATTAAAGGCAAAAAACAAACATTCCTCAGCATATTAAAGCTCTATATTTGTCAAGATTTAAGAAAGCCTCTTTAATCTTCTTGGAGAAATTACCTTTAATAGATTTAAAGAATTTCTAAATTTAAAATTCCTCAGCATATTAAAACTATCTTTCTCAAGATTTAAATAAAATCTCTATGATCTTTTTGCAAAGAATTTCTATATTATAAATTTAACAAATCAACTACAGTAGTTGCACTAATCATTGACATTTTTATTCTACTTAATAATAATTAATAATTATCTAATGAGTAATTACAATTAATTATACAAATTCTCCTTCCAATGTATCTTTCGAAATTTTGTAATTAAATCAAAAAAGTCAAATTTAATTCAATGGCTAATTCGGTTTCTTATTATTAAGTATAAGAAACCGAATTAGCCATTGAATTAAATTTGATATTTGTAAGTGTATATGCGGTGAAACATGTTTCACCTAAAATGTATGTAATTAACACATGTATTTACCATGTTTGATGCAAATAAGTTTTGAATCTTCAAATCTTTGTAAGTTGTGTTGAGAAAATGTAACATTTATTTTTTATCATTCATTATGGCTAAATTATCATTGAAATTTATACAAATGTATGCAAAGATTAGAAGTGGAATCTTCGTTATATAAGTTGCTATGCTATTTTTTAGATTCTCCTTATCGAACTGCTATTAGCGGTGCTGTATTAAAATTACAAGAAGAAGGAAAATTGCATATTTTAAAAACAAAATGGTGGAAGGAAAAACGGGGCGGAGGCTCGTGCAGGGTAAGTGCTAATATGATTAGTCAGTAAAAATGATAAAATAATTATGAAATACCATAATATTACAAAAGAGTATAATATGGATGCTTGCATCTGAAGACTAATTTTTTTTTATAGGAGAGGGGGCAAACGAGCATGCCGCTCACCTGTTAGTAATTGACTACCGCCGCCCATGAACTACCGCAACACCAGGGTAACTGCAGATGCGTTGTCGGCCTTTTAAAAAGGAGTAGGCTCTTTTCTTGAAGTTCCCTAAGTCGTGTCGGTCCGGAAAAATCGCTGGTAGTAATCGATTCCACAAGGGAGTTGTGCGAGGAAGAAAATATCTTCTAAATCGCACAGTGGTGGACCGCCAATCATACAGGTGGTATGGATAGTATTGCAAATTTTGTCGCGATGTGCGATGGTGAAATTGAGCGGCTGGAATCAGTTCGAACAATTCCTCAGAGCACTCCATGTGGTAAATGCGATAAAATACGCAAAGAGATGCAACATCTCTACACAGTGCCAGTGTATCGAGCCGATCGGAAAGAACTCGGTCGTCGAAGATTCGAACTGCTCTGCGCTGGATGTGGTCAAGTGTAAGGAGCTGGCACTGGAGTGCGCCGGCCCAGAGATGAGAACAGTATTCTATATGACGCCGGATTTGCGCTTTGTAAAGTTGCAAGGGATGTGCCGGAATGAAATACTGTCTCGCTCTGCTGACCATGCCAAGCTTTCTACAGGCCGAACAGCGTTGGTGATAGCACGCAGCCTTGTGGAACACCAACGTTGATAGGCTTGAAATCAGAGCATGCACCGTTACTACGACCTTGATACTTCGATCAGCAAGGAAACTGGTGATCCATTTGCACAATTTCTCGGGAAGCCCATAGGAGGGAAGCTTCGAAAGAAGCGCTTTGTGCCAGACCCAATCGAAGGCCTTTGCTATGTCCAAACTAACGGCCAATGCCTCGCCCTTGGACTCTACTGCCTCCGCCCATCTATGAATCAGGTAGACCAGAAGGTCACCAGCTGATCGATCCCGACGAAAACCGTACTGGCGGTCACTAATCAGCTGCTGATCCTCAAGGTACCTGTTGAGCTGGCAGTTTATAATGGATTCCATTATTTTGGGGAACAAGGAGGTGATGGCGATAGGCCTGTAGTTGGACGGGTCTGAGCGGTCGCCTTTTTTAGAGATCGGGTGGACCAAAGCTGTCTTCCATAAATTCGGGACTACACCTTGGGAGTAGGAGTACAGGAAAAGACGCATTAAATCCGGTACCAACTCCAGAGCACACGTCTTCAACACAATGGGAGGGACTCCATCAGGCCCACTCGACTTGCTGACATCCAGGAGAAGAGTGCTTTACGAACCGAGCGCTGCGTTAATCGCACATCCGGCATGGAGCACTCACACCGCGGGATGGTCCCTCCGTCATCTAGAGTCAAGTTGGACGCAAAGAGAGAGCTTAAAAGATCGGCTTTCTCCTTTGCGGCATGGGACAGTGAGTCGTCCTCTCTGTGCAGAGATGGAAGAGATGGCTGACAGAAGTTCCCTTGGACAACCTTAGATCAGAATGCATTGGTTCCTGAAGGAAGGCGAACTAGCTTCTCGCTAATTCTGCCGATGTGCTCAGACCTTGCCTTGGCAATGACGCTTTTGAAGGACCTGGAGGTGGAATTATACTTCTTTTTTAAGTGCGCTGGTGTTTACATCCCGAGACGTTGATGCGTCAGCCCAGGCCCGGTAGCACTCCTGCTTATAGCGTTTTACAATAGCAACCAAATCTGCCTCCGATGGGTACCACAGAGGATGGGATAAAAAGTTCCATACCCTGACGCACCACATCAGCAACAGATTCGGCAACAACGCTGGGATCTTCCGGCGAGAAGCAGACCCGCGCCCAGGGGTATAGGAGATACAAAAAAGACCGCATCCCATTCCAATTGGCCGACCTATAGTGTCAAACACGGCGGCAATCTGCAGATCGCAACTGCGATGGGAGCGATATGGATGCGATACTCCGGAACAGACAATTGTCCTCATTGACCATTGTGTATCTACGGAAACATAATACCTGTCGGGATGAGAGGTCAGCAGAAGGTCCAACAGGGAAGGTACATGATCCTCCACATCTAGAATCCGCGTAGGCGAAGTAACCAGTTGTGTTACACCATATGCCAAGGCAAAGTCATAGAGAGATCTACCCGCATGATCGGTTAAACGGGAACCAAGCCATTTTGCGTGGTGGGCTCTAATATCACCGAGTATCACGATCTCTGCGGATGGGACCTGTTGTAGCACGGAGTCTACAGCAATTTGGACGTGATCAATGAGCCGGTCTGTGTCGGCATTACCGCTATGGGACCTATAGAGGCACCCGTAGATGCGGGGATAGTCGTCGCTGTCTACGCGTAGCCATAGGATGGACAGGTCCATACCTTCAAGACTGCCGAAGCGTTGAAAACGGATGTCCTCTCTGACGTATACGCAAAACCCAGCCCGAGGCACAAAGGAGTGTTCTAATTTGTACCCAGGGTAGGAGATATATATGAAGTATCAGCCAGAGAGGACGCCTGGGTCTCGGTTAAAAAGGATGGAATGAAGTCCCCTGATGTTGCAAAACTTCACTCACACTTCTAGCGTGACAGGGGTCGCCTTGATCTTATTGCTCCGCTTGCTCCGAGCAGTATTAGTATAGCGGAAAATTGCGCCCCCCCCCACCCGAATACGCGGGGCAGCCTGAGCACCCATGCTCAGGAGTGGAGTAGTTTGGTCGTGGATGCTCAGCAAGGGATTCTCCAGGGGTGCTGGTACCCTCCTGGGGTAGTCTTTTCTTTGATTCCGCTACCATGTTGATGAGGGGGGAGGGGGGAATTGGGCCTCCGGTCACCTGCACTCACCAAGCGCAATGCAGAGACAAACCTCTACTTCACGCTGGTATTCTGTGAGGTCGTGGTACCACCCCGGTTCGAGCCGGCCCAACCGTGTGACAGCAAAAGCTGCCGCGTGGCTCTACCACTGTTAAACTATGGATATTTTGTCACCACTACAAATTAAAATAAAATACCCCATAGTTTGTAATTGTTGTTCTATCTCTAAAGGCTTTCTTACTCTTCAAATCACAGTATTGAATAGAATATAATAGAATATTTTTAATTCTTAGGTATAAAAGAAGCCTTGGTATGAACTATTTAAATGCTTATTCAGTAGAATTTCTATTCTAGGGCAGATTTGGAGGCTTATTGAGCGTCACTTTCAGAAATATAATTAAATAAAGCTATATTTAGTAACACAATATAAATTCTTTGCAATGCCACATTAATTATATGCTTGTTTCGTACACTTGTTAAATAATTCGCATTCTCCTTATTATTTATATGGAAAACTATCTCCAAATCACGGTCAAACTGTCAACTAACACGAGTGAACTTATAAGTGTGTTTAACACGAATGTTTCAAATATGCTGTCTCCATAATTTTCAATAATATACCTCTCCTCCTTTGCAGGAGATCGTAAATTAAAATTTATTTTGAAAGAAATGGAAAGTATGGTTACTTGAACAACAAAAGTTTGAGTCAGGTATTAAGTGTTATAATATATTTACCGAAATTTACATTGCACATATGAGTGTAATATTTCAGTCTATTCTTTATGTTGTTTCACGTCAAAGCCAGAATTAGGTCAAGATACTGTATTTTTTTTAAAGTCACCTGTGGTAGAATACCAGCGTTGCCCTCAAATCCACAACATAGCTGAGTCACAGGCCAGTTTTGATGATTTTTTTGTATATTTTTAACAAACATGATGTGTAAATTGAGAAAATAAAAAGCTTTATTATTATTTTTGGGGTATTTATATAGTTTTCTCATCTGGTTGGGCTGTATAAATATATAAGTGAAAATGATAAATATACATAAATATCAATATCATAAAATAAATACGTAAAAATACATACGCAATTAAAAACCCAACCAGATGGAAAGCCCTCGGTAGGGAAGACCAAACAGCCGACGGTTAGGGGGAAAGAGATAGAAACCGGCAGCCGATGCGAACAGTATGTAGGAGCACCGCCTTCCGCATTTGAGCCCGGAGCAGTACGTTACGGAGTCCCAGTCGCCTCAGATGACCCAAGAGACTGACCGGGATTAGCTCGTTCACAGAAACGACCACAGAAATAATTTCGGTTGGCAGACCACCCCACATAATGGTGATCTCGTGAGTCAGGTCCAAATATTTTGTCTACTTATCTGTTTCGGCTTTCACGAGGTTTTCGTCCTAAGGAATGGTAATGTCGACCAAAATATCCTTGACTGTACACAGTACACAGCACAATATAAGGCTTATTCTCAAGAATAGTCCTGGCTGCGGTGATGACCCGGTCTCAGTAGTGCCTGGTGCGTTCATTTTCGAGCACAGTTTCCGGCGATACTTATAATAAGGCAGTTACCGATCCACGAGATCGTATTTCAGAGCGAGCTCCTTGTGTACTAAGTTGTGGCTGTGCAAATACTCAGAGTTCGAAAGCGCCGAACAACCGGAGATGGCATGCCTAAGTGACTCACTGAGATGGTAACAAGCTCGACAGGTGTCGACGGCGTCATCATTTAGGATGTATCTCCAATAGTTGTTGGTCTTAATAACCCGATCCTGTATCGCACAGACAAAACCCTCGATTTTTCCAAAGAGGTCACCGAAACCTAACCAGTGAAGGGAGGCGACTGTGTCTACGAAAAGTTCATGTAGAGCCTTGTAGAACCTCTCATGGAGCTCCTACACCAACGTGGAAATCCTCTGTACTGTCGGATCTTGCCATTGCTCGTTGGCTAGAGGGGTAAGCCCTTTATCACAACAAATGACGTCCTTATAGAATGAATCATCTGATCTCGCCAGGAAGTAATTATGGAGACTGCACACTTCGAGATTATGCACCATGCTGCATAATCGCGAAGAATTATTAATAATTAACGAACACCATGCTTCTGAGGCAAGTACAGCCTCATTACCGACAATCTATGGGACGTCAATGTAATGCGGACTTTTCTATCCAGGGCGCTAAGTTCAGTTTGAGTCCACCTGAGTATGAAAAAGATATACACGAGGACAGGCAACACCCAACCATTAAATGCGTGTGTCTTATTTATGCCCGACAAAAGACTGTTAAGCACTTTGGTCAAGCGTGCATAAAACAGATCGCAAACTGATTGTTTCACGTCGGCATCATCAATACCTATATGTTGTGACATACGCAGGTATCGGTTTGTTTCAGCCTCGGAAAAGGTCCTTATGTTGATGAGCATAGATAAGAGTTTCTCAGAGTTCGCAACCCTATCCCTTTCGACATAGAGGACTGCATACTTATCCTTCCCCAGCTCCATTCTAATAGAATTGCTAAAATCACAAGTGATGTTTAGCAATTCCATAACATGGGAGTGACTAGAGGCGAATAATTTAAGATCATTATTTATTATAATTATTTTTATTACACCATACACGTATTTACTATTCCAAGGACATATTTTTAAACTAGAAAACTCGATAGGTAAAGTTTCCTTGATCACTACAGCGATGTTAATCTTGTTAAAAGAACTATAACGATTAATGTGATTGGATTAATCAGGATGAAACCTCAAAATCGTCATCAACGGCAAACGAACTGGGTCTCGCTAACGTAGGCGGCGTGTTTGTTGTGCTTATGGGTGGTATGGGAGTAGCCTGCGTCATAGCTGTCTGCGAATTCGTTTGGAAATCAAGGAAGGTGGCTGTGGATGAACGGGTGCGTTATAATAAAAAATATATACATGTTTTGTATCCTATTTTGCGATTTTTTTAATAATTTCAAATTTGAAATAATTATTTTTTTTTCTTTGTAATTGCTTCGATTAAACTCTTTTTTTTTGTTCTAGGTTTATTTTTGAATGTACGTTGTATAGGTAAAAATACTTTGTATTATTTTAGTAGTCGCTAGATTGTATTATAATTTTGTCATTTTAATTGTGTGCATTAACTCCACATTTAATAATATTATTTTATAATATGCATATGTACCGTGTTAATTCTGTATGCAACAATTATTATGACCTTCGATGAAATGCGAAAGGAAGTTATTAATTTGTTCGTCTTTGTTATTGCTGCTTTGGGAATTGCAGAAAGAAGAGGTAAACTTTTTCTGAGCGTTAAGTAATATTTCTATAAGCAAAATCTACCCTGTTTACTTTGTGGGCCCAGGCTTCACTTTGTTCGGAAATGGCTTCGGAGCTGCGATCCGCGCTTAAATGTCCGAGCAGCGCGGGAGGCGGCGGCGGTGTCGCGGGAAATAGAGATGGGGCTGGTTCTCCATACCTGCACTACGGTTTTAGCACAAAGAGTCAACTACACTAGCGCCCGGATTCAGCCTCCTCGCCTCCAAGCGATGTGTAGGCTCATAGACAATATTAATGACAAACTTTGATAAATTATGTTCTGTTGCCGGAGTGATTTTGTAGGGATGTTATACTGAGTGTCAAATGAAAAAAAATTTCTTCATACTGTTATAAGTAGGTCATTGTATATAATCTATTCTATAGCAGCCAGTTTCCAAATTTATTGTTGTGTAGTAAAATAAATTCATTGTAACATTGAATGAAGAAATGTGTGTTCCATTCAAAATCTTATTAATATATTATATTAAATAGCCAAATTTGTAACTCGTGACATATTCTGCAGGTAATGAGATTGTAAATAATACTATATTATGTGTGGATTTAAATTCATTATAATTTTTAATTAAATGTAAATATAAACAGTAAATAATTATTTATTGATGTTCACTTTGTCTCTTGTAAGTCCGTTGTTGTAAATATAGGATACTCATTTAGCAAATAACTCTAAAAGTACATTACAAATAATTGATAATAATATTGATAATTTTAAGGCAATAAATGATAAAATATATGACTTTCTGTTTTGATGAACCAATTTATATTAAGGTTCAGAATTTTAATAAAATGAAACGGTGTTGGTAGTAAAAACGTTATTCATGGTTTCAAATTTATGAAATATCATGTTTTAGAATTATACTTTTAACTTAGTGATAAATTACGTAATATATAACTTTATATAATATTATTGGTTTATAGTAGTACTTCAAAATGAACAAACCAAGCTCAAACTATGCCAAAATGTTCGAATGTCTGTACCAAATTTTGCAAAATAATTATAAATTAATAAATACATCTTTTTAATAATTAGACTATCTGTGTTTATTTTATATGTAAAAAAAATCTTCTAAGACCAAGAAAAAGCTAGAATAATCTCGAATAAAAATTTGGTATGAACGTCCACAAAACTCAAAAGCATGATAATTTTAAATCATGTTCTTTTGGGTGATTTCCGATTATAAGAACAACGTTCTGATAATTGGAAGCTATCAACATATGAAGTGCGATAGTAGCATAGGAGAATCCATTACCCCATTTGTTCCCGTAGATGTCGTAGAAGGTGGCTATGGGAAATGCCAGAGGATCTTATTACGTCAGATCGTTTATCGGCTTTAATGATTTCATCGCTAGCTGTGAAATACCTGTATAGGCGACGGCAGCAACACAGTGTACATGGGCAGTGTAAGACGTTTACTGTAATCGTCAATCAGTCTGCCGAAGGATGCCACTTAGGATGTCGAGCAGTGGATTTTTAATGGGCGACGACGAAGATCAACATATATCTAACAACAGGCAGGAGATAATATTATATTGCCACAAATGCATTTAATACAAATACACTCATTGGTCCTATCTGTACCTCTATCCATATATCCATATATAAAAAATGGGGGGAAGACAAATATGAAATGTCTGGGACAGAGGACAATAAAAATACAACCAGACTTGAAAACAAGCTGTGTTTTTGCATACACGACGTCTTAATTTAAGATTCGAATATAAAACCACTAGAACGATTGGGTAAATATTAACTACAAACCTCAACTCAGTCCCTATTATTTAAAAAGAGTTATATAAGATAATATCTTTTAAATAATAGGGGCTGATAAGATACGAGGGCGACACTGAAAGTTTTTAGAACTGGCCACTTGTAAACGATATAATAAAAAATTAAATTCAAATTTTGAAAATGGAACTCTTTGCCAATATTATTGTGTATGTCTTTTATTAATTTGTCATTAGTTTACAATTTGGCGGCAAATTGAAAATTGTCTCTGTCACATCAGCATAAATTTAACGCGAGGAAATTTTCGCACAATGATTTTTTATGACTTTCGATGTCATTTAAGTTAACAAGTAAGTTATGATGAGACTTCGTTTCTTTATCTCGTGTCACTGTTTACAACTGGTTTAATGAGTTTAAACGTGTTAGCACTAATCTGACCGATGATCTGTGTGAGGATCGGCCTTCTACGGCGGCGACTGAAGATAACATCAATGTTAATGATTTCTTATATTTACGCGAAGACTACACATTAAATGAAACTAATTTTGAGACTGAGTCCCCCCCGTGACCGTGGGTGCTGTAAAGTACCCGGAACGTCGGGAATTAAAAAGTTAAATTAAATTAAACGCGATAAAATCCGTAAAAAATTAGTTTAATTTAACATTAGTGTTGTGCGGTGTATGATAGAGACTGACAAAAGACTTATCTGCAGATTCGAACAAGCTTAGGCATCGGTATGAGTCAAGTGCACAAAATCCTCCATGAAAATTTAGCGGTCAGAAAGATTTATGCCCAGTGGATACCCCATAATTTGACAGAGGCCCAAAAACTCCGTCGTGTTGATTGGTGTCGTGAAATGGTTCAAAGATTTAACGGAGGTGACTCAAATGCTGTGTTCGATATGCTTATGGGTAACGAAAGCTGGATTTATTGTAATGATCCTGAAACTAAGAGACAGTCTACTGTCTGGTTGTTTCCTTCCAAGGAGTTGCCAACTAAAGCGAAGAGAGGTCGAAGCGTGGGAAAAAAGATGGTGGTCTCGTTGTTCGTAAGGGCAGGTCATTATCCAACAATTGTTTTAGAGGATCGAGAAACAGTTACTGCAGAATGATACACTAAAGTTGTTTGCCACTTGTCTTGGAAAAAGTTCGGGGGAAACGACCTTGCAATAGGATCCTCCTTCACTACGACAAAGCTTCGTCGCACTAACCTAACCTAACAAAAAATCGACTACTTGGCCACGTCAGATTTGGAATTACTGGGTCACTCGCTCTATAGCCCCGACCTCGCACCTTGCGATTTTTATTTATTTCCGAAAATAAAAGAAAAACTTCGAGGAAAACATTTTATGGACGCCGAGGAAGCAGTGGCTGCGTTTCAAAACGCCGTCGAAGAGACCACTAAGGACGAGTGGGCAAAGAGCTTTTCTCAGTGGTTCCATCGGATGCAGCGATATATTGATATATCATCATCATCATCATCATAACAGCCTTTCATAAGTCCACTGCTGAACATAGGCCTCCCCCAAGGAATGCCACAAAGCACGATCCTGAGCCACCTGTATCCATCGACTTCCTGCATGTCTTACCAGGTCGTCACTCCATCTAGTGGGTGGTCACCCTACACTTCGCCTACCGGTACGAGGCTGCCACTCGAGAACCTTTCTTCCCCATCGGTTGTCGGTTCTTCGAGCTATATGGCCGGCCCACTGCCACTTCAGCTTACTAATCCGTTGGGCTATGTCGGTTACTCTGGTTCTACTGAGGATATCCTCATTTCTAAGTTTATCACGCAGAGAAACCCTGAGCATAGCCCTCTCCATAGTTCGCCGAGCGACCTTGACTTCCTCATACGGCCAGCAGTTAAGGACTACGTCTCAGATCCGTAAGTCATCACTGGCAACATGCACTGGTTGTACAGTTTCGTTTTCAGGTTTTGAGGTATGTCTTACGAGAAGATGTGTCGTAGTTTCCCGTACGCTGCCCAGCCGAGTTGAATCCGTCGATTGACCTCTCGGTCGAAGTTGGACTTACCTAATCGGACTATTTGTCCCAGGTAAACATACTCGTCAACAACTTCGAGCTTAGTGTTCCCAACAACTACCGGCATAGGTATAACATGGAAGTTAAACATGATTTTTGTTTTGTCCATGTTCATCTTAAGACCTATCCGTTGGGAGACACTATTGAGGTCATTGAGCATAGTGCTTAGGTTCTCCAGCGATTCTGCCATAAGGACTATATCGTCGGCAAATCGAAGATGAGTTATGTACTCGCCATTGATGTTAATATCGCATCCTTTCCAGTCCAGTAGCTCGAAAACATCTTCCAATGCAGCGGTGAAGAGTTTCGGAGATATAACGTCACCCTGTTTTACACCTCTCTGCAGTTGGATAGGTTTCGTACTCTGATTCTGTACTCGGATAGCCATCGTAGCTCTACTGTACAAACACTTCAGCACTTCGATATAGCGACAGTCAACTTGGCATCGCTGAAGGGACTGCAGCACCGCCCAAATTTCGACGGAATCAAAAGCTTTCCTATAGTCCACATACGCCAGACATAGTGGCAAATGGTACTCCTCGGACTTCTGTACAGTTTGCCGTAGGGTGTATGTGGTCCATGGTACTAAAGCCTTTTCGGAAATCGACTTGTTCGGAAGGCTGGAAGTCGTCAAGTCTGCGTACGAGACGATTCGTAATGACTCTCGAAAACAGCACGTAGACGCGACTCAGAAGGGAAATCGGTCTGTAGTTCTTCAAGAGAGCATTGTCACCTTTCTTGAAGAACAAGACAACCGCACTTCTGCTCCACGCCTCCGGAGTAGTGCCACCATAGAGGACGGAATTGAAGAGCTTCTGAAGGACTTCAAGTACCGGTTTTCCACCCGCTTTCAGAAGCTCCGCTGTAATTCCATCTTCACCCGGGGACTTGCCGTTTTTAAGGTGCTGGAGAGCCATTCTAATCTCGCTCAGACTGACGTCCGGGATATCTTCGGAATAGTGTCGTATATTGATATACATGGACACTAATTTGAAAAGATATAATAAAACTAATAAATTGCTAGTTTGTTCAGTTTTTGATTTTCTAAGAACTTTCAGTGTCACCCTCGTATTACAAAATTAGATAAATAAAAATGTACAATAAACTAATTGAATAAAATATTCCGCTCCAAGGCAATCTAAAAGATTACGTAGCTAGAGAGTTTTCTGAGAAGCACATACTTTTTAATTTAATAAAAATCTGTTTTAATGTCAACTTTATCAGGTTTAATATCATCTCTCCTCAAACAAATTCCTTATTAACTAGGAACCTTTCAGAGTGTAATGACATTCTCCAACTTTATGAGCTTCCAGCTGCTTTAGTTATTTAATGTGAGTAGATATAATGTCATCTGCTTAAAATTTTTCTAATACCATGTCTTCGGCATTTACCGCAAGGTTCAGACCATCGAGT